ATTTAAACTACAAACCAGGGTGAGCAGCTGACATCTTCATGCAGTGGACATGCTGTTCCTAAAGTGATGGAACAAGATTTCCCATCATAATGAAACTCTTGCCCCTCTGAATTTTTCCTTGCTTATGCCTAAATTTTTCACTTGGCATAATAATGATATAATTAAAATTTCACAGTCAGCAACTTCTGCAGGGAACTTGACCAAATGTTGCAGCTGTCATGCCAATCCTGAATATTTACATAGCCTAAAAAAAAAAAAAAAAAAGTTTAGTCCATCCAATAAGTAACTTTAACAAAATCCCTAATACAACTGGTACTCTTTGCTTTAACTCAACGCAGTCATGAGATCATAGATGATAGAATTGCTCTTGATTATCTAGCTGAAAAAGGCAGTGTCTTTGCTATTGCTAATACTACATGTTGTACCTGGATAAATTCCTCTGGGGAAGTCGAGACCCCAATACACAAAATTAGAAAACAGGCCACATGGACGCAATAGGTCTCACCTAATTCACCATAGTCATTTGATTTATTAGTTGGTTGCCTTTAAGCATTCGTTCATGGTTCAAAGCTATTAGACAAGCTGAAATTCTCATATTAGTATCAATGATACTTTGTGTTTTCCTTTTTAAACTTTGTATCTGTTGTCTGTTAAATTTCTGCAGGAGTAGGACTTCTAACAATAATACTGTCCCAGCGCTTTGAATGCTAGCCAACGCCTACGGAACAGACCAAATTAAACTTGACAATGGCCTCTAGACAGACTTAGCCTGACAGGCACCCCCTCCAAACCTCCCTTGTAGCTCAAATGTAGCTAAAAGTGTTTTGACACTTACTCCTAGTTGCCAGTCAATTCCTTCTGATGTGGGACCAGACTAACAACTCAGAACAGGTTACCTCCACACCAAGAGACAGTCAAAACCTAACCATAAGATAATTAATCAAAGATGCTTTCAGAGAACGATCTCAATTAAAAAAGGAATGTAAAAAAGTTGTCAGAATCAAAATGGAATCACTTGTGTCAAACCAGATTGACAAATGAAGCCACGAAGGGGGGTTCTCATGCACATGCACGTGATAACAAGAACGGTCACAAGAGACTACAAAAACAACCTTGCACAAAAGTTGCTACAACAGCACACAAAAAAATACTTCTGTGGGCTGGGCATAGTGGCTCATGCCTATAATTCCAGCATGTTGGGAGGCCAAGGCGGGTGGATCACCTGAGGTCAAGAGTTCGAGACCAGCCTGGCCAACATGGCAAAACTCCATCTCTACTAAAAATAAGTAAAAAAAAAAAATTAGCCGGGTGTGGTGGTGCATGCCTGTAATTCCAGGTACTCAGGAGGTTGAGGCAGGAGAATCACTTGAACCCAGGAGGTGGAGGTTGCAGTGAGCCAAGATCGTACCATTGTACTCCAGCCTGGGCGGCAAGGATGAAACTCTGGCTCAAAAACAAAACGAAACGAAACAATCCTTGTCTTTCTTTACTTCCCTGAATATACCCATGTGTACTCCCATTGCAATGCTCATTCCTCAATAACAAACATCATTTTCTCTTAGAGAGCTTCTCTCTCTGTTATTTGGGTTGACCGAAGAATCGAGACCACACTCAGTGTCTGCCACTCCCTCAGTTCATTTATAAGCCAAGAGGTCAGAGGCAGCAGATCCTTGCACACGGGTTGCCATGCTTTTACTCATGTGACCTGCAGCCCAGGAGTAGCAGAGCTGTCATTGCTCCACTTGTTTCTCTGTGACCTTTTAGTGGGCTCCAGCCCATTCCCAACTTCCAGTATCTACATCTCTTAGCCCAGAGGCTTTTTTATTTTCCACAGAACTGAGGAAGTTGGCTCCTTCCAGCACAGGGGAGGGTGAAAGTGACTGAGAATTAGTATCCTCAGAGAGCAGCCTTCAAACAGTAACAGCAGGAAGTTGGTATATAAATACATCTATTCCCTCCTCCTTTGGGTGGGATAATTCTGAAGCATATGTTTCATGCTGGGTTTCCCCCCAGGGAATTAAACTCTAGTTGCCCACTATGGTAGCTTGCTTAATAATGCACTTTCCCTTCCTTGTATCACTTCCTTTTTTGGTGGGGAGATGGTCTTGCTCTGTCGCCCAGGCTGGAGTTCTGTGACACCATCTCGGCTCACTGCAACCTCTGCCTCCTGGATCCAAGAGATTCTCCTGCCTCAGCCTCCCGAGTAGCTGGGATTACAGGTGCCCACTACCATGCCCGGTTAATTTTTTGTATTTTTAGTAGAAACAGGTTTTTGCCATGTTGGCCAGGCTGGTCTTGAACTCCTGATCTCAGGTGATCTGCCTGCCTTGGCCTCCCAAAGTGCTGGATTACAGGCGTGAGCCACCACGCCTGGCAGTCTTTGTGTCACTTCCACACTCCCCTATCAGTCTGCCCTGCACCTTCCAAAGGCAAACTTGTATTCAAATCCTTTCTTCTGAGAACCCATGCTAATCACCAGACTCAACTGATTAGACAAGGAAAGAGCCTTGACCCAAGACAGCCATTGTGTTTGGCCACAACTCTGCTGTGTACATGGTTATGGTTAGGAAAGCAATCCGACTTTTTCTCAAGGAGCACAGAAGGAAGACATTAAAGTAGGAAAAAGGAAAGAGTAATGAATGAGCTGGCTTTTGGGAATGGTGGCATCCTGGAGGAGGCAAGTGTCCTCCTGAGTCCTGACTATCCCACCCCACTGATGGACTTCCCTGAGAGTGCCAAGATGTCTGTGCACTTTTTTTGTTTTTTTCAGATGGAGTCTCGCTCTGTCGCCCAGGCTGGAGTGCGGTGGCGCAATGATCTCAGCTCACTGCAAGCTCTGCCTCCTGGGTTCAAGAGATTCTCCTGCCTCAGCCTCCTGAGTAGCGGGGATTCCAGGCATGCGTCACCATGCGCAGCTAATTTTTATATTTTTAGTAGAGACAGGGTTTCTCCATGTTGGTCAGGCTGGTCTTGAACTCCTGAGCTTGTGATCCGCCTGCCTCTGCCTTCCAAAGTACTGGAATTGCAGGCGTGAGCCACCGTGCCCGGCCATCTGTGCACTTTTATAACAACTTCCACCACCTGCCTCAACCTGAGCACAGCTACCCTCACAATCTTAAAAGGCCCAACTCATGGAGACTTTAGAGTCAGACAGACCTCAGTTCAGATCAGTCTTGTATGGTCTTCAATGAATGACTTTCAGCCTCTGAGCCTCAATTTCCTCAGTTCTGAATGGGAGAACACTATCTCACATGTGTTTGTGAGGACTAAATAAAGCAATGTGTGCTAAGCAACCTGATACATAGTTTGTTGTCAGTAAATGTAGCTCTGTCCCTTACCTGAGCTCTTCTACAGATACTGGCATCTACAAATAGGTCCTGTCTTTTGGTCGTCATGGTGACCCTAGGCAAGCTATAAATTTCCCCTAATGAAGTTGAGATAGTTTCTGTTTTCGTGCTGTGCCTGTCTGTGTCTCGGATAGATTAAAAACTCTCAAAGGAGTCACATTTTAGAATGTGTAGTCTGACCATTTGTAGTCCACATCACCCACTTTGATACAGGCAAAACCAATCAAAGAGGGAAAGCAGAAAAGGTTCAACTCAGTCTTCCCTGAGCACAAAGGTGCTCTGTATTTTTGGTGGTTTAGGAAACAACTGGAGGGTGGGACTGGCAACAATGGGAATTGTTGGTTGGCTTTGGAAGGAAGCCTTTGGCCAGTTGGTGTCATTCAAGAGGCCACTGATCGGGCACAGCGGCTCATACCTGTAATCCCAGCACTTTGGGAGGCTGAGGTGGGAGGACTGCTTGAGCCCAGGAGTTCAAGAGCAGCTTGAACAACATAGGGAGAATCTTATCTCTACAAAGTAAAAAGAAATAAATTGAAACCTAGCTGGTTGTGGTGGTGTGTGCCTGTGGTTCCAGGTACTTGGAAGGCTGAGATAGGAGGATCACTTGGACCCAGGAGGTTGAGGCTGCAGTGAGATATGGTCGTGCCACTGCACTCCAGCCTGGGTGACAAAGTGAAACCCTGATTTAAAAAAAAAAAAAGGCCATGAAGCAAGCTCTTCATGGGTGCCCTTCATTTTATTTTCCCTTTGGGTAATTCATTTCGATTCAAAACAGCAAGCACACCTGAGTACCTGATTGTACCAGGTCTGGAGCTAGGCACGAGGGTCTCAGATATGAATCTAGCTCAGGGTCTGCCTCAGGGAGCTCATGATCAGCAACATTGCTTTCCTTCTTTGTAAAATGAAGGTGTCAGAGTACATGATTTTTAAACCCCTTCTCACCTTGAGTTTCTATCATTTGTATGAATCTGAGGTCAATTCTAAGAGGAAGCCTATGAAGAAAGGCTTTACTTGGCTGGGCGCAGTGGCTCACGCCTGTAATCTCAGCACTTTGGGAGGCTGAGGCAGGCGGATCACAAGTTCAGGAGTTCAAGACCAGCCTGGCAAATATAGTGAAACCCTCATCTCTACTAAAAATACAAAAATTAGCTGGGCATGGTGGTGGGTGCCTGTAGTCCCAGCTACTTGGGAGGCTGAGGCAGGAGAATCACTTGAACCTGGGAGGTGGAGTTTGCAGTGAGCCAAGATCATGCCATTGCACTCCGGCCTGGGTGACAGAGCGAGACTCCATCTCAAAAAAAAAAAAAAAAAAAAAAAGGAAAGGCTTTACTTAAAGATAAAGATAAGGGTGAGAGACGATTGAGATGTCATGGATTTTTGCAAGTACCAAAATGCTCACCTAGCATCTCTCTTTCCATAAGTTAAAAAACAAACAAACAAACAAACAAAACTGTCAGGTAACAGGGAACCTGGCATGTAAATAATCTGTGTCCACCACTGAGGTTCAAAATGTCTGGGCCAGACATCTATAGTCTGTTCTGCTTTAGCATTTGTTTTGAAAACACAAATTTGTTCCAATGCAATTGATATATTGAAAAACAATTTGAGCGTAATGCAAATTTTGCATTTGTTTATGTGTGATTTCATCCACAGGACGCTAGGTGAAAGCAGAAAACGGCTTCCAGCTGAACTGAGCCATAAAGTGTCAAGTGAAAAACCAATCTGGACCAAGGTAAGAAAACTTTTATTTTTTCACAAGGGTCAGTGGACTATTGCATAAGAAAGAACACTTTAACCACGAGATTTGTAAGCATCTCCAGGGTTAGGCAAAACCAGTTTTTCTTTTATGGAGAGAAGTCAACAAAGCTAGAAAAAACCAGTGTGAACACTAAGATAAAAGGCCGTGTGTGATGAAATAGAGCAGATCAGAGAATGTCAGCCTGCTCCCAGGAGGATCTCTCATAGTGAGGGGCTATCTGCTGGCTGAGGTTGAGGGTGGGCCAAGGCTCAGGGGCCTCAGGGAAGGAGAGAAGCTAAACCTAAGTTTAGTTAACAAAGATTTTGTTTCTGATTGATCAGTGGGGCAAAATACTTCAGCTAAGCATTTTTCAAGGCTTATGAGAACAGCAGTTTGGAGGATCTGTCTGGCCTTGTCATAGGTTAACAAGGGGGCTTCCATGAGGCTTATCTAAGTCACGTGTGAAGTGTCACTCTTTGTAGTAAGCTGTTTCCAGAACACAGAAGGGTGACGGGATTTCTTTACCTATTGCTGTCTTCCAGGATAACAGGACACCAGTAAAATTCAACAGCATTGATAGGAATGCTGAATAGGAATTCAACAAAACATACAAATACATACACTTCAAACACCTACCAGCTGTCCCAGTTCTCCAAGTGTGTTATAAAGCCACACCTCCCTCCAAATGGTGTTACAGCTGATGCTCCGATTTCAGATGACCCTCCTTCTGTCAGAGGTATTTGAACCAGAGTGACTCCATCTTGAATAGAGGGCTGGGTAAAATGAGGCTGAGACCTACTGGGCTGCATTTCCAGGAGGTTAGGTGTTCTTAGACACAGGATGACATAGGAAGTTGCCACAGGTCACAAAGACCTTGCTGATAAAACAGCATGTGGTACAGAAGCCAGCCAAATCCCACCAAAACCAAAATTACCATGAAAGTGACCTCTGGTTGTCCTCACTGCTGATTATACACTTATTATAATACTAAGAGACACTCCCACCAGTGCCATGACAATTTACAAATGCCATGGCAACATCAGGAAGTTAGTCTATATGATCTAAAAGGGGGAGGAACCCTCAGTTCCGGGAATTTTCCACCCCTTTCCCAGAAAACTCATGAATAATCCATCCCTTGTTTAGCATATAATTAAGAAATAATGATAAAAAACAGCCAACCAGCAGCCCTTGGGGTTGCTCTGCTTATGGAGTTGCCATTATTTTGTTTCTTTACTTCTCTAATAAACTTGCTTTTACTTTACTATATGGACTCACCCCAAATTGTTTCTTGCACAAGGTCCAAGAACCCTCTCTTGGGGTCTGGATTAGGATTCCTTTCTGGTAACATTTCTACCACTGCACAGTATCTCACAAGCTGTCACCCTTTCTTCAACTTTAAACTTCAGGTTTTATTCAAGATAAACTGCCACATTTATTGTAGTGTGTCTTAGTCTGTTTTGTGTTGCTACAACAGAATACCACAGACTGGGTAATTTATAATGAACAGAAATTTATTTGGCTCATGGTTCTGGAGGCTGGGAAGTCCAAGAGAATGGCACTGGCTTCTAGCAAGGGCCTTCATGCTGCATCACGCCGTGGTGAAATGCTGAAGGCCAAGAGAGCACATGAGTGAAAAAGAGAGAGAAAGAAGGGAAGGGTGCTGAACTTATCCTTTTTATCAGGAACCCACTCCCACAATAACTAACCCAGTTCCATGATAACAGCATTAATCTATTCATTAGGGAAGAGCCCTCATGACCTAATCACCTCTTAAAGGTGACGCCTCTCAACAGTGTTTCATTGGGGATTCAGTCTCCAACACATGAAGTCTGGGGGACACATTCAAACAATAGTATGGTGTTTATGTCTTTCTTAACCATCAAATATGTGTGAGACTGTGCTACCATTTTTGTTAGTTTCCTATCTTTTTTTTAATGTGTCACTGACAATGTTTTTGAGTGTGCCCTAACTCCATTTTTCCATAAGCCCTATGACTTTATTTTATTTTATTTTATTTTGAGACAGAGTCTTGTTCTGTTGCCTAGGTTGGAGTGCAGTGGCACAATCTTGACTCACTACAGCCTCTGCCTCCTAGGTTCAAGAGATTCTTGTGCCTCAGCCTCCCGAGTAGCTGGGACTACAGGTGTGCACCACAATGCCCGGTTAATTTTGGTATTTTTAGTAGAGATGGAGTTTCACCTTGTTGGCCAGGCTGGTCTTGGACTGCTGACCTGAACTGATCCACCTGCCTCAGCCTCCCAAAGTGCTGAGATGACAGGCATGAGCCACCACGCCTGGCCTACCCAATGATTTTTAATCACACAATTTTACATAGCACAATGATTTTTAGGAACACGTAAATCATTTTATACTGGAACTGTCTGTATTTGCAGCACAGTCAGCTCTTAGGAGAGGAAGCAGCCCAGGGTAATGGCACTTCACAACTCCAGTGACAATGGTTACATGGCACCTTCTGTGGTGTGTATTCTGTGCAGTGTGCCCATAGGACCGTGACTGTTTTGTGCCCAGCACAAGTGTTCCCAGCTGAGATGTGGACAGGGGCTGAGATCCAATGCTTACTCTGCCTGCCAAAGTCATCACATTCTCTGTCCACCCAGAGGGAGCTCCTGTTGCTAGCTCATAACACACAAAAGAGGAGAAAAGGGGTTTTAATTGCATTTGGAATTGAAGTGAAATAGTTGGAAAAAAACAGAATTGTATTGTAAATGTCAAAATGAGATTTTACTAACAGCCTAAAACAGTGCTTCCAAATCTCAAAGAAAAGGATGACATTTGTTGACCACTTACGGGCCAAGGCAACTGGCCAAGAGCTCTGACAGCCCCAAGCCCCACCCACGCTACTCAGAGGGTTAAGGGATTTATTTCTCCATCTGTCCTGCACTTTCATAGTTCAGTGTGCTGTGGCATCTTAATTGGATACCTCTGACCAAAAGTGAAGGTAAATTAAGGAACCTTACCAAGATGACATCATGGGACTCATTACTCAATGGGAAAGGCAAAGTGGGGGGCTGGGGGGCAGGGAAACGGGAGATATGTGTCAGTTAGTGCACCTACTGAAAGAGGGAAAGTAATTTCTATATTGAGGGGACCATACATTCTAATTTGCCCAGGACACTCCTGGTTTATGCATCCTTTTTCATCCTCAAAAGGGTCCCAGTAACCCTATTTATACTCCAAAAAGTTAACACTTCTTAATCAATAATTGGTGAAACACCCTGTGGGGGGTGTGTGTGTGTGTGTGTGTATATATATATATATATTTGGTCCTTGTCCTGTCCCTGGTTTTTGACAAGGAGCTCCTAAATCCTTTGACATTTTTTGAGTGAAAGGAGTGTCTTTTGTTACTCAAAGGAACCTTTGAGTCCTTGTCTGTCTTCAGCCATGTATAAAAGTGTATGCGAATAAGGTCAATCTTGTTGGGCACCTAGATGACTTCAGGATGGGGCTGGTCATCAGAGGAATCAATTGTGTGATTACAGGGCTGCAACATCCAGTCCCACTGGGGAGGGGACAGGGGCAGGAGTTTGAGCTCAATCACCAATGGCCAGTGATTTAATCAACCATGCCTATGTAATGAAATTGCCATAAAATCCCCCAAAGGAGACAGAAGGGTTTCAGAGCTTCTGAGTTGATTAACACATCCATGGATGAAGAGGGTGGTGCACCCTGACTCCACAGGGACAGAGGTTCCTGAACTCGGGACCCTTCCAGACTTTACCCTATGCACCTCTTCATCTAGCTGTTCATTCATATCCTTCCTGAGTTCTATGAGTCATTCTAGCAAATTATTGTACTTGAAGCAAACATGGGCCATGGGGATTCCTGAATTTGTAGCCAAATTGGACAAAAGTGCAGGCAGCCCAGAAACCCAGGACTTATGGCTGGTGTCCCAAGTGAGGGCTGTCTTGTGGGACTGAGCCCTTAAACCTATGGAGTCTGACACTAAATCTGGTTAGTCAGTGTCAGAATAGGATTGGATTGTTGTACACCTAGTTAGTGTCATGGGAACCAGAGACAGTCCTTCAAGTTTTAATTATAACCCCCTCTAGAAGACAATTGGTCTGGGGACAGATCTTAGTAGTAGATGCCAGACTGAGTATTACCACTCCCCTCAACGTTAGAGACGGTGATACTCGGCCATGGGCCTCCCACCTCCTCCCTTGAAGTGCAACAGGACCACCATGTTGCCTGCCTCCTCAGGCACCATTCACAGTGTATTTTATGTGAAGGTGTGGGTTTATCTTTTTTAATTCCTAGGAAATAAGAATTCAAGGTGACCTTCCTGGCACCCTCTCTACCTGAGCAGCCTCCCCCATACCATTTCATAAGGATTTTCCCCAGCTCAAGTAGTAGATGAGAACTTTTGCAAATCAGCTGGCTAACCAGATGTCCAACGGTGGAACAGACGACCAGTGTCCTTTCTTGCAGTCACCCCAGTTTGAGCCCTACGTCTGTCTTGGCCTTAGGGAAAAGACAAAGGGGCATCCCTGCATGAACACTGTACTACCCACTGGCCAACGACCTCTAATATTTTTTGGGAAAGGTGTGGACCAGTTTCATTTTTTCTCAGTAAGTCTTGCGGGAATATGTGTGCTCTGAGAAGGGAACACTATCAGGTAGGTGACTTGATTGACGTGTCTGCCACGATGGTCCTGCTGCTTAGAAATCCATCAGTCCCTTGTGCATACCCCCTACTTCTGGGACTGTTCACCTGCATCAGTGACCAATGGTTTTGGCTAAAAGTTACAAAACCACATTGACCAGGCTAGCCTCGAACTCCTGACTTCAAGTGATCCGCCTGCCTTGGCCTCCCAAAGTACTGAGATTAAAGGTGTGAGCCACCTGTAATCCAGCCCAAAAGCCTTTTCTTTCTGAGGCTCTGTCTTTTTTCTAGGAATTGAGGGTCCCAGACTGACTTCCCTTAGGTCTCTTTGTCCAAAACTGGGGTTGGAAACAAAAAGGGGAATGGGATTGCCAGGGCTGGTATAGACACATGATAACTTGTTTCTGGTGTTGGGGGAAGGATCTTGCCCTTACAACAAGCCAGGGAAAGGGGTGGAGGGGCGGGTAATGGTTACCCCTCTGAGTGCCAACCTTGACCATCTATCTTCCTTACTGGTCAGTTTTTCAGTGCACCTGCACCTCCAATGTCCATGCCCTTCTTGCAGACACCCCAGGGGGAGGCCCTTCTTCTTTTTTCCCTCCCAGCAATACTGGACTTTTCCACAGCAGTGGATACCACTCAATAAATGTTTCTTAAATAAATGAAGACAAAAAATTTAAAAAAAAAAAGATTTTATGGCGGGTGTGTGGAGAGTATAGAATTTGGAAGAAACATATTTCATAGAATTATTAGACAAATAGAACCTAGAGATCAGGAATTCATTGCCTGGAGCCCATGACTTGGTATCAGGGGGTTTCATGAAACCCTGAGATTGTATGAAACATTTTGCATGAATGTGTATATAAATTTTGGGTAGGGTGTGTCCTTGGTTTATAGCACATGTTAAAGATTCTGTAACCTCTAAAAGACTCAGAAAGCCCACCCCAAATGGCCTAGGGCAACACCCTCCAATTACCGGTGGCCAAGGTAGTAGCCAGCATCCTCCAGGGAATGATAAGCTAGCAGGACTGAGCATCTGACTCCCAGGACTTCTCCTCCTAAAGCCACAGACTCCATTGTTTCTATTTTTAAAAGGTCAGTCCAAAAGGTGTTATTATTCTCTGTCTCCCAGCACAGCTTGGAGCAGAGTGGCCAGACTAGGGAAGGAGCCTCTCATGATGACTCACCACCATCCTTCCATGAGTAATGGTCTTCAGGCTCTATCACTCACTTGTGCTGACGCACTGGACTGGAAAAAGCTGACCCTGAGTCAGTGGTTATATGGACATATAAAACCCTGGGAGGCGGGACCAAAGAGAAGGAGCTGGACTGGAGGTAGAGCCAGTGCCCACCACCCAGACCCACACCTCCCCCACCCCAAGGGAGAAAGGTCACTTACTTATGCAGGAGCCAGGTGAGCT